GGCGGAAAAAAAACCCAGCCCGTTTAAAGGGTATAGGGTTTAGGGTTTCAGGGTGCAGGGTCCAGGGTTTGGGTTCAGGAAACCCTAGACCCTAAGAGCCACGGTTTAGGGTTTAGGGTTTAGGGTTTAGGGTTTAGGGTTTAGGGTAAACTCTCTGAAGTTTAGCGATGAGGGCTTAGGGAAGAGGGTCGAGAGAGTCGGGGTTAAGGTATACTTTAAGTGATCACTACAATCGGATCCATAAGATGGTTTGCGAAGTATATTCCTTAACTGGAGCCTTAGGCCTTAGGCAATCACTATAATCGGATCCCTAACATGGTTTAAGAAGTATATTTCTTCACTTAGGGATGTTGGAAGATCGGCGTCTCAGATCCTTAACCCTGAACCCCAAATCCTAGACCCTAAACCCTTGATTTTAAAAACTCATATGCCATGGGTATTTCTCTAAACTGCGGTCCCTTCTAGGATCCATTTTATGAGAGTACCGTACTGTCTTTGGGACCCAACAAAGGGACCCTAATTGTTAAATTTAGATGACGACTCATACAAAGAGTCATGGACAACTCCCCGAAACCCACACCCCAAAACCCTTAGCCCTAAACCCAAAAACCTAAACCCTAAACCTTAAATCCTAAATCCTAAACCCTAAACCCTAAACCCTAAACCCTAAAACCCTAAAACCCTGAACCCTAAAAGACCCATACATAAAAAGTCACAGACACCACCCACAAGCCCCGGACGGATCGCCTGCTCGAGGCTTGCCAGCATCACCAAGGAGTTCAGGTCCCAGACGCGAACAGACCGGTCCTTCTGCGCTTTCTGTGGAGCCCTTTAAAGTTTGGGGCTTTTTTCGGGCTTTTGGGTTTTAGGGTTTCGGGTTTAGGGCTTTAGGGGTTTAGGGATTTGGCTTTGAGGGATTAGGGATTTTGGGTTTTGCGGCTTAGGCTTTACAGTCTCGAGCTTGGGGCTTTGGAGGTTTAGGGTTTAGAGGTGTAGTGCTGTTTTGGGTTTATGTTTTGGGAATAGGGTCTGTAGGGTTTAGGCTTATGTAGTGGGCTGCTGTCTTTCACACGATAGAAAGGTTCAAAGGTTCGGCCGTTGGCTTCTGTCGTTCGGCTCGGAAACGGAAGACGAAATGCAGGCTTTCAAGGTGCTCTGAAGTATCATGGGACTTAGTAAATAGTGTTATAAATAAGGTAACTAGAGTTTACTACTTAGATCAGGACCTATAATAAAGGGCTAACATCCAAAACTGTAACAACAAAACCCCAAGGCTCGACAGTCATACAGTCGCCGCTCTTCTGCTCGGTACAGGCTGCAGCCAAAAAATGCCAGAATTCTGGTAGGCATCCTGAGGAACAGTATTACTATTTTTTCAGGCTTCTGTTGTGTGGGCGACGGAAGATCCGCAACAAATCCAAAGGCACAGGAAACCACGATGCCATGTGCAG